AAAAAACTTTTTAAAAAAAAATTAAAGACGGGTGGCCTTAACACAAAGGCCGGTGGCAATTACCTCAGCCCAATAAACCCGCTAACAATGCGGCTGACGTGGCGGACGGACGTAGGAAATCAGAGAGTAGCACGTGAATTTCGCGAGGCCAAAGAGTACGGAATCTTCCTTTTCCAACTCCGAAGTCCGACCCGATATTCAAACTCCATAATTTACGGCAAATACTAAAACCCTAAACCCACACTTTTCCTTCCTCTTCAACAGTTAATCGCGCCCGTCTCAATTTGCTTGCATCTCCATTTCTTCTTCCCTCCGGTAAGCTCACTGCCTTTCAATTTCTCAGCATTCGGTTGCTGAATTTTATTACTGCCTATCTTGTTGCGCAATGCTCGTGAAATCTCTTTTTCCACTGAAATAGAAATCGTTTTTTTAAAAAAAAAAAAAAAATTCTTCAAGGTGTTTGATTAATTGCTTCAGTGAAACAGTTTATTCTGCGTGTTGTAATTATGAGATGAAAAATTTTTAAGTTGATTTACTTTCCCTGAATATATCATATTTCTCTGTTTAGCATTGACCCATGTTGTAAATTTTCCTTTTTTCAGAGTTTGTAGTGTACCCGTAGGAATTACTTGAGATATCCGTAGATTTTAGAGGGTTTGTTGTACTATCTAATTGAGGCTACTGGTGCAGTTTGGTTCATATTGTGTATTTTTATCAAGTTGTGCCATTGATCATTCATTATAGTTGAGGAACTATTTTTCTTAGAAGTGAAAATCAACTTGTCAGAAGTCTGAATTGTGTCAAGAAGGAGTTTGAATATCGGAAAATTATGGCATTTGATTTTTAATTCTGGAGTTCATGCCAATTTGATTGCATGAGATAAACTGTTCTCTATTTTTTTTACGGGTGTGAAGGATTCATGCTGACTGCTGATAATATCAGCTTGCTGCAAATTATGGCTGCATTTCAATGGTTTGCTGCTTACATTCTTGGTCTTTTCTTTTTGTTTCCTCACTTTCATCTTCACCCTCATGCATGTAGGTTGTTTGGGGGAAGGGCTTGTCATTGTTTCCATGGTTAGAAGCATTTTGGTTGGAAGTTTGTGACATCAATTTACCTGATAAACATTGCTTGAAATGTAAGTTTATAAACAATTAAAGCCTTTTTTCAAATTTATCCCCTTATTTTCCTGTTGTTGATGTTAATTGTCAATGCAGAAGGTTTCCATTTTTCTCCTGATAAGTCTACCCTACTGCATACCTAATGGGAACTTACAGCAACTTTCTATGGAGTCTTGCAAAAAAATCTTTAACAGCTGGGCTCATAGCAGTTACAATTTCAGATCGACTTGCCAGTATCTCCCCAGTTCATGGTTACTCTATGTCCCCCACGTTAAATCCAAAAACAAATACTCTTCCAGAGTTATTTTCTAGTAAGTCCTTCAAGACAGCTGAAATCATTGTTTTTCCTTATTTCTGATTTTCATTATTTGATCATTTGCTTTGGCCACAGGAGACTATGTTCTGATGGAGAAGCTTTGCCTTCAAAGATACAGATTTTCACATGGTGATGTGGTTGCTTTCAGGTAATAATTTTGTTGCTAAATACACAAACACATATACATGGAAGTTAACATGAGACTTATCTTCTGAGTTCTTAATGTTTTGCTACTTACATATACTTGTTGCACAAGGTTTATTACTGGAATTTGATTTAGCTTTACCTGCAACTTTTTTTCAGCTCTCCAGAAAATTACAAACAGAAACTTATAAAAAGAATTATTGGGTTACCAGGTGACTGGGTTGCAGTTCCTCATTCTTATGATGTTGTAAGGGTTCCAGAAGGACATTGTTGGGTTGAGGGAGACAATTCAGCTAACAGCAAAGACTCAAGGTCTTTAGGTCCTGTAAGTTGTTGCAAGCATTAACTAAAAAATCTATAATATACTTAATTCTTCATTTTCTACAAAACTTTATAGGTCAGGTTCCATTAGGTGCAATGAGAAATTTTTTCTTTTATATTTTGATGGGTGTATCAATTTTCAAATTAGAATGGAGAAGCCACTTTATCTTAGCAAACACTTTTTAAAGTGGTAAATTTAAATCTCCTAAGAGTTGAAATCATAGTCTTCATTTTAATGTGAAGAACAGAAGCCAAGAACAACATTTTGGCATGGTTTGGAAGAAACTAACGTAAGCAACTGTCAGAATAATAAAAAGGAAAAGATTTATGCATCTGAACTCTAATTGTAAAATTTAGTGATGTTTTTAACTTGATGCTTCTCATTGGTAAATCTGTTTTTGAGATTTTTCCTATATTTAGCAACTAAGAGCATATAACATGAAGATGGGACCTATATATACATGTATATTTAGGTGCATCACTGTGTATTGTGCAAAGTCTTCTCTCTCTCTCTCTCTCTTCTCTCAACTTGGACAAGCTAATTTGTGCAGATTCCTTTGGGTTTGATTTGTGGAAGGGCCACCCACATTGTATGGCCTCCACGTAGAATAAGCAAACTTGAGAGTAGAATTCCCCAAAGCAGACTCTCTTCTTCCTAATTGGGGTGTCCAATGCTGCACTGCTGGACCATTGCCAACAAGTCAGAAACTCAGAATACAGGTTTTTTTCGTGATCTTTTTACCCCAGGAATGCACACACGATGATAGAATTGTTTGCATTCTTTAGCAGTGACAGAATTCTTTGATTGCATTCTTGCAATATCATCAAAGTAGTTCCTGCTGTAGTTATATGGACCTAAATATAAGAGCTTTTAGGTTGGAGGGAGCGCTATAACGATTCATGAGAGGTTTAGTAGTTTTTCTGAGAGCTATTTCTCATTGAATCCTTGCTGCCTTGTATTCAAAATCAAATTATTCAAATTTAGACATGGAATTGTGAGACAATGCTTTGCTTGAAAGAGAATAATGGGAAAAAGTTTGCTCATTTGCGATATTTTTTAATAAAATAGAGATTATTATTTGAAATCATTTATGTAGATTTTTACTAGCAAATTCATCATTGATGGCTCTTAAGAAAAAATGTATTGCAAATTTGCAACTTCCAGCATATTGGTTTCCAGAATTGGGATAGTGCCTGCCTGCCTGCCTGCCTGCCTGCCTGCCTGCCTGGTGCTCCAAGAGCAAAACCAGAAAGAAATAACAGTAGAACAATAGTATGAGGGGGTTTATGTCCAGACGAAGCATGGTTCATGTAAATGCTCGGAAGTTTCTTTTTGGAAGAATTGGAGTGTAGAGAATGTGCCTGACAACGTCCGTGAATGGTGGGATACTTAAGGTAATGGTAGACCAAAACCTGGCGTTATGGTGCCGTATGGACCCCAAGTTCTCTTCATCATTGCCTGATGGCCCGGCTGGTTCAATTGGTTAAGTGGGTCGTTTTCTTCGGCCATAACCATAAGTTTAAGATTTAAGTGGGTCATTTGAAATTTGAGTCTTTTTACTTCCTCCCTTGACCTTGTTAAGTGGTTTTTCTTAAAACTCAAATTTTGTTCCAAATTAATTGTCTGTTTCGACGTATTCATTTTCATATTTATCTCAGTAAGTAGAACTCACAAAATATAAACTTATAAGAGCGATAATTTTCATCCATCGTTGTGCATATCTAAACAAAATAAGGCCTTTGATAACAACAAAATTCAAAATTCAAGGGGTGTCTTAACTGATGATAATTTCAAAATTCAAGATTGAAGTCCATTGTTATGGGAGTGACATCTCAACATAGCTTGAGAATAAATTATCAAATGTATAAACAACGTCAATTCTTATACATATATATATATATATATATATATTACATTTTTTTTTTTTGACAACCTTCATCACGCACAGGAGACAGGACTCCAAGACCTCTTTTAAGAAAATAGATTATTAATGAATCACTTATTAATCGCTTAGGTTATTGATTTTGTTCTTAAAATGTTTTAAAAAAATACTACAAACCCTCGTAAAGAAAAAAGACCATAAGGATACCTATACTTCACTATACTTCAACTTAAAGCCTTTAACTTTGAGTTCATATGAATCATCTCATGTGAATTATACGTTCGAATCTTATGAATTATAC